TCGACGCTCTGCCACCTGCCCTAAGCGGTCCCACTCACTCTGCGCGACGCACCAGTCACGTGCTAATTACCTCCGGCTGCTCGCTGACTGATGCTGGCCTCATGGTGACTCGTAAACATCCGCACCTTCGGTATTTTGATGGAAACAAGGGGGAGTGAGTGCTGGAGGGTGGGCATGAGGACGACATCCCCCAATACAAGCATCCGCGGGCCCCGGAGCTAATTCATCTAGAAGTTGCATTGGTTAAGTCACTCCGGAGCTCCTGTTCACAGAGATAAATCGCGGAATGGGTCCGTGTACGCCTCGAGGATGCTAGGAAGTCCAGAGCTAAAACAGAGCAAGTCTTTAGAGCCCATAGAAGCCTAGAGGCGTGTGAGTGCTGTGTCGAATAAGCTCCGGGGGGCTTGTACGATGTGCTGAGTCTGCGTTTTCGGGGGTCAGACAATCCTGAGGCTTATCACCAGACCGAGCAGGACCACGGCATCACTACCTACAATCATGCTGCAATGCCCCAACAAGTCACCCTACAAAGCTACAATACCCCCACAATCCTCTACAATGCCCCTACAATACAGGCTTTGATCAGTCCTTTACATGCTGAAATCTATTTCATCCCGGGTTCATTCAGTTTTGGGTTTTTCTGCAACTTTAGTATTTCTCAATGTTTGTATAATATAGGTTTATCATACTCCTAAACAGATAATACGTGGGATGAGTAGAACTTGCACTGGAACAAGATTTGCAGTGTGTAAAGGACTAGGGCAGCTTCCGGGGTCCCAGCTACCAATATGTCGGATTTGGTATCTCAACCCAAAGTAGCACTATCAGTGAAAGACATGCTGGGATATCTTTTTGAGAGCCATACTATAGTACTGAACACTATTATGGCCTATCCTTGCCCTACAGCTAGCAGGAATCTGCAAAACTAAGTGTGTAATGGAATAGTATTGTGTAACGGACCGGTTGATGCCTGTACCCCCCATAACACCCCTACAATACATGGTACATAGCTACAATATCCCAACAATACACCTACAATCCATGCAAAATGCCCCCACAATCCATGGTACAAACCTACAATATCCCTACAGCATCTTTACAACACACTACAATACCCCCCACAATACCCCTACAACAAGCTACAATGCCCCTACAACCCCCTGACTGAACCCACTACAATACCCCCACAACCCCATAACAATTTGTACCCTGGATCCATGACAAGCCAATACAGGGTCCGACATGGTCTTGCCATGATATTATTGTTAACAACCAAAGGTAATTACTAGTGTCATCAAGCCAGGGATGCTGTCCTCAACCAGCCACGGCTCACTCAAATTGCAGGATAAGCAGCAGCGATTGACTTGTACCTGTCCCAATTGCATTAAGGTGGGGCCGATGGGGGTTTTGTGTTCGGTGGAGGTGCATAGACTCCATGTACTCTCCAATGCACTCTTGCCACCCACTGCTCAGAGGACTGGGCCAAATCCAAATGTTCCCACGGCTTCTGCTGCATCAGGTGGTCAAGTGTCATCCAACATCTTGCCTGCAGCCGGCACTGACCAGCTGAGCTCCACAATTGTCTTGTCCACACTGATTGATGTCGATATCACCGTGGATGAAATTGTTAGGTTTTGGTTGTATTGGATGCAGAGCCACTGGGACAAATAGGTACAAACAGCTTGACTATGTACTGAGCCACTGTATTTCCTTTGTTCCTTAGTCTGTGCAATTGACCTTGCCTTCGGTTTGTGTATGTGTCTGGGCCTGGTGTGCTTATGGCCACCCATCTTATGCTTCCCTGTTCTGCCTGCTGCTAACAGAAATACCTCCTGTGAATGCAATTGCATAGGAGCTTGTCAATCAGCTGTTGGAGCTTGACCTGGGACCTCCTGACACTATGGAAGGTCAAATCCCTTCATCAGCGCCGTCAACATCAACTGATTTTCTAAGTACCGCAGCTCAAGGGCCCACTCAGACGACACAGGTCTTGGTTATACTTTATCTATGCTTGTTGAGGACAATGGAAGAGATGACCAGGTCCTGGAAGAAAACACAGCTAGACCAGGACCAAGTACATGCCCCCAAAGTTTGAATACAGGTGCAGATGCCTAGTCTCCAGTCACCTGGTAGTGTCCAAGTGGACATTGAAGGGCATCTCCTGGATGCAAATAGCTCTGATCATATGCTCTCCAAGGAAGAGCGGCATGTCAACACCACTCGGGCCATATCCCAGCTGGACTCTGTACGAAACAACATTGAGGAGAGCCTGCAGTGCCTTACCACTGGTGTATCTCCAGATACAATATGGGACGCACAAGACTGTCTAGGATGTCTCCACTGCTGCTTCAATGCTGTTACTCATCGGACACTGCGCATCCTCAAAAGAAAGGCAGGACTGTGTGAGTGGCTGAAGCTTTTGGATGGTCAATTACTGGAGCTCGAGGCATTAGTGCCAGAAAGCACCGATCTGATGACTTATATCTGTGGTATGTTTCTCATAATGCTCGTTCAGGTAAAGCATAAGCTGACAATTACATTGCTCCAAGATGACCATCATGAATGTCCAATTGATCAGTATAGTGCTGTAGCCCAGGTTTCAATATTCCTGGTCACTGTCTGCACTGTTATTGTGGGCTTGAACCGGTCAGCGGGAGCTTTCATGCTAGCTACCATATTGACTATCTTGACTTTAGCATTCACTTTGCATGGGTGTCAGCTTAAGCAGGACCAGGAGTGTGTGCTGGCAGACATACCAAGCACAGTGGATACTGTGGTATCAAAATTCAAGCTAGATGGACATGTAACAACCTACGCGACATGCTCAGAGTGCCAAGCCATATATGTGCCTTATATTGAGGAAGGATCTGCTGATGCAGTATACCCAGCTACCTGTGCCAGCAAAATGCTTGGGTCTGACCAGATTTGTGCAGCTCCATTGACAGAGACCAACAACACTGGCGGGACTGCTCAATGAAGCTGCTTAGGCCATTCATAATGCACAACTATGAAGACTACATGTTAGGCTTCTGGAAAGACACAATATTGAATCATTGATGGATAAGGGCCCATTCGGATCCCCAGTAACGGTATGCTTGCCCACCAACTTCGAAAGTGTACGCTTATAGTCTGCTTGGGGAAGCTAAGCGGAGCCGAAAGACTGTTCAGGAATGTTCTGGTAAAGCTCGCGCAGGTTGTCACAGTTGCTGTGCAGGCTTTCTCGTATGGTTACTGATGCTGTAGACCATTGCTGTACTGTGGTTATCCTAAGTGCTTGACTTCAGTCTGATATCTGACAATACCAGTACTCTTCTTTTCATATGCCTCATCCTTGGGCTTCTCAGGGCTCTGATGTGCGCAAGAGATCTTGGGCTCACTGGACAGATGCGGAGGATGCAATTATGGTCCAGGTGTTGAAGGACAAGAAAGAGAAGGGCAACCAGGCTGACAATGGATGGAAGAGATCTGTCTGGATTGCCATGGCTGATGCTCTGAAGGCTGAAGGGTATGCTGATGGTGTTGAGAAGACAGCCAGCAAGTGCATGGATCACTGGACAAATGTAAGTACCACTTATTTCTTGGGACGAATTGAGCTACATCCTCACATATATATACACTCCCACTAGCTCAAGGCAGCATTTGTACAGGTGAAGAGGTTGCGAGGGCCCGAAGTGTCAGACTTTGGGTGGGATGATGGGTGAAAAATGGTGACAGCAAGGGATGAAGTTTGGGACTGGTATATCAAGGTACGTGGATCCTCAAGTGTCACTAATGTACCATCATTGACAAAACTATCTATAGTCTAATCCAAAAGCAGCGAAGTGGCAAAGGACACCGTTCCCTCTCTATGACGAAATCACCTTCCTTGTTGATGGGCTCGTTTCAACTGGTGCTGGTGCTTTCCACCCTGGCCAAGAGGATATGGATGACGAGGAATAGTCAGATGGGCAGGTCACTATGGACAGAGATGATGATATGCCTGCTTCCAATGTATGGACATCCTCTACCTCCTCTGCTGCTGACTCTGTAAAAGATAGAGCCCTCGATGGGCAAGAGGGTAAACAGCTGGAACAGGTATGTCAGAGCCTGCTAGCATATCTTCTCTGTAGATTGACCAAGCTTCTTTTCAGGTCCCAAAGGCATCTCATAAGTGGGAGAGCAATGATGAAATGCCAGCTTGCCTGAAGGCCCACTGCCTCCGAATTCGACACCAGTCTGGAGCTGAAGCCATGGTGGAGGTTGCAGATGCCATACAGTGTGTTGCGCAAGCGGCTCAGGCTCAGGCCTCTGGCTCCGCTGGTGACAGTGGTGTGCTACCTCTGACATCACCTCAGCACCGCTCTGCAGCTATCCGGAAGATCGAAGATGATGGTGATCTGGCTGAGACAGACCAGGTCCATGCCATGAGGCTGTTCTCAAAGAGAACTTCTGTGGCAGATACGTACCTTGCTATCTCAAACAGGACCATTCATACTCACTTCCTGCAGGCAGAGATGGATGACTTGTTTGGTGATAGCCTCTAGACAGTAGTTTATTTTGATTATTACTTGGAAAACAATTATCATTCATAGCTCCCCCCTCTTTCTGAGTATCGCCTGATAGTCCCTCCACATAGCCATTGCAATCTCATCTTGCTGTGTCTCCGCTTGATTCCTTTCCTCGCGTGATATTCCAGATCTGGCCCTTGCAGATTGCGGTGGACCTTGAGAATGTAGAGCCTCCCCAGATTGACGACATTCTACCTCTATAGCATTGCAAGGATCATGAGTATGAATGAAATTGTGTAGGGCACAGAGTGCCACTACAAACTTTGCTTGCGTAGCCACATCATACTCGGGTGCTACCACCATCAAGTTGAATCTCGGTTTGCTGATGCCAAACACATGTTCAATAATATTTCGGAGCTGAACATGATGGAGATTAGAGAGCTCCTCATGATCTTGGGGTCAGAAAAGCATAATGATTAGCAGAGTCAATTGGTTGACTTTAATCACATACCGCTGATTGGATCATCATACCGCTGATTATCACTTTCCTCTGTAAGGCACCAGGAGGCTATCACAGAGTGGAAATCCAGCATCAGCAAGGTAGTATCACCCTTCAAGCACTGTGAGATCTCATGCCCAAGCATACTCAAATATTTGCCCATGATTTGCACTACCCTCCCAGCCCAATAGGACATGGTCAATGTGGGCTGAGAAGTCACAAATTGCGAGAACATTCTGTGACACACCACCCTTGTGGTTACAATAGCATGGCAGTGCTTCTTCAGGGATGAAGGTGTCAATACGAGAGCCATCAATTGCACCACAACAATCCTTGAAGTAGGGAAAGAATTTCATATTTGAAACAATTATCAGCGGGGTAGAGTCATCTGGGAGCTTGACATATTTGAGTAGAATGGGTGTGATACAAGCATATTCAGAACCTGTATGATTACCCTGTATATCAGAGTTATTAAAATGCAACCCTACATGGCAATGATACTCTCACCTGGATATGGTGTCTCCACTCCTTTGGAATCACTCTTGGAGGTGGCGATTGCTTTCTCCTTTCCATGCAAAGTGGCAGAAGATGGCCAGCTGCTCGGCTGCAGTTACATATTTCATGTCACGGAGCCCACTTTCCAGCTGCAGTCCACAAAGCAGTACATGGAAGACATGCTTGGACATGTTCATATTCCTGTAGAACTGTTCTGAATGCCCGATCAGGAGCTCCTCTAGCCACATCTGGCCAGTCAGAATCAAGGTATGCATAGGGGTCCTGATCATGACATTCTGGTAATACATCGCACCTAGAGCTCCAGCAAGTACAGAGAGAGTAGTAAAAGCAGTATTCCTTTTGCTCCTTTCCACTTGTTTGTCATCAGCAACATCTAGATGTGCCATACAGCCAGGCTCGTGAGGTGTGAGGCAGTTTTGACACGTCTACGGCAAGCATATCTCACACGAGAAATTGTGACCGGTGTGACAGACCAGCGCCACCAGGCTTCAAGCAAGTTCAGGCTTGGCCTCTGCAGGTGTATGCTTGCAAAACATACCGTTAGCCGGGGATCCGAATGGGCCCTAAGGCATGTGATGATGCTCTTGCATCCCTTGACTGCCCCCAACTGGAGTTTATATGAAGTCCTTTTGAGGCTGACTCCATCAGAACCTTTGAAGGTCCTACATCTTCTGCAGATGAGAAGCAACTGTTTATCAATCGTTGAGGAGAGTTGCACATCTGCTTTGCGCTCAATTTTGATGGATTTGCCATGGAAGGGATGACACCTCATGGCCCAACTAAATCCTCCACTATTATATCCCGTCATTGACGTTTTACAGAAATCCTGGTTCCGTGGACATCGCTTTTTGTGCTCAGCACTCAGTCTGGACCTGGGTAGGATAGCTTGAAGTGCTCTTGCTGTTGTTGTCAATGACTTGCCTGGAGCCTGTCAACAGACAGCAGGCCCCACCAGTAAATTCCTTTGTACCATGTGTGATTTATTTGGGATTGATTGTTTACGTGACACAAACTATTGCTCTTGGAGGAGGCTCAACAATGCCTTGGTAAAGCACTGGGCTGAAGAGTGGAGGGATGCATCTTCTGTCAAGGATCAGTGGACCCAATTCGACAACCACAGTGTCCAGTGGTCAGAGTTATGGAGGCTGCCTTACTGGGATGTTACAAGGCAATTGGCACCCAAACCAATGCATGCCTTGTTCCTAAATGTAGCAGAACATCTAGTTTGTGATGCACTCCGCTTATCAAGTGAAGATACATCTAAGAAGCCTGAACCTCAACATGCCTTCCCCCTCTCGTCCTGGCCCAATGATCCTAAGTTATCACAGAACAAGCAAGAAAGTGGTAAGAGGATCTGTGATCTCCTGACATCCGTCATTCCCCAGGAGAAGCTGTACAATGACCAGGCTTTGGGTGCATTGGCTATCCCAGGGTGATGTGATATAGGTGTTTTTGAGGATGACTGGCACCAAGTCACCAAGGGTGGTCTGAGTAGGCCCAAACCTGATGCACATGGTGGTACATGTGAAGTGTGTTATAACCCATAGTGACACAAGTGTAGCCATGGGGAGTCCGTAGGAGGAGTACTACCCAAAAGTGGTAGTTAGCCACCTGTTGCTCAGAATCTCTTGGAGTCATATGCAAACATGTAGCCTTATATGGGCTGAGTAAGATCCCTAAATGCCCAGCAATGTGGCATAGTAATAGTGTGGGAAAATGCGGAACCTTGTCCCAGAGCTGGTGGTGAAAATAATTTGTGTACCGCAATGCACAGCCCATGGTACCTACACATGATTGGGACAAGCACTCCCTATTTCTATACACTATTCTAACCACTACATTAGCAACAACATTGATAATAAGGACAAATAAACCCCAGATATCAAAAGAGGCTGAAATGTAGATCCTGGAGGTATCCCATATCAATTGCTGCCATATTTGGCATGTGCTGATGTAATATAGTGATACCACATGTGTCCCATTATCCACAGCAGGTTCCACAAAATTTCCTGATTTTATTTGAGCTGCGAATGGCTGATGTGGGGCACTCTAGACACATTCCCACACTATGTATAGCTTCAGCACCATGATGCCTGTCCCGAGAAATATATTTTGAATCTTTCATATTTTTCCATATTTTTCTGGGGCCTGCAGGGCCATGTATGGCTACCCACCTATTATTGGCAACAGCTCAGATCAAATCCCGATTTGGATCTCCATGCCGGGGATGCCGGGGCTGTCGTATTCAAGCTCAGCAGGGCTGCCTGACACTGCATAGGGTACTCAGAAATCTAATACATTACAGATGATTGTAAAGGCTGTTTAATGTAGAAGGCTTTACAATAACAAAGGGGATCTAATACATTAATCCTACAGCAACAGGTGGAATTTGCCCATGCCATCTCGCCAATACTTGCTAAGAAGTTCACTCAAGGTCTAGACTGTGTTATGCACCTTGTGTGTGCTTTGCGTGCCATCTCCTTGCGGTCCATGACCAAGGTACGGGTGGATGCTTACCTGCACTATATCACAACCTACATCTACAGTCCTTCCCAGATCCTTGAAACAGCATGCATCCTTGAAATAATGGGCTGCTGCTCGCTCGAATACCGACAGCTCTCCGGGACCTTTTGCTTACTAGGTCAATCATACATGTAGATGATGAATATAAAACATTTGGATGTTTTCACAAAGTGGTAGTATAGCGATGAGGTCCATTACAGGTGTATATAAATGTGAACCCACCCTGCAGCTCATAAACTTGTGATTTTCAACCTAAAAATATTCTCAGCCATTCCTCAATATTGGAATATGTGGGAAAACAAGATTTAAGGTGAATGAGTGCAAGGTGCATGATCCATGGTCATTGCGACAGCCAGATTTGGAGGATCGGCCATCTGACCCTTCATCCACCACCATTCAAATACCAACAGACAACTGCATTTGGCACATAGGAGAGCCCAGCTAACGCCGACGCATGATTTCAAGGAGGCAGATTTCAGGCCATTGAGCAAAACTGCCTTGACAGGTAAATATAGTGGGAGGTGTGTAGTTTGGGGCACAACCAAATACACCACATCAATCTACAGCATATAGAGCCCCATAGTATGAATTTTAATCAGAGATCAAGGTAGGACATGCTGCAGTTGAATGCATGACGATTTATCTTGTTTCAAGGACATGGGAATTACTGTACATGATGCTCAAGATCTTTCCTGATGTGAAGCCATTTCCTAGTATATCTATGACTTCTTGCTGCTGATTGGACCTGTTCACTGGTGGGTTTCCCATTTGAGCACCTTATTGGGATAGTGCAGCAGCTACCTCACAATCACAAGCAGGTCAGTATGAGCTCATATTTCAAGTTATTGAGCTGACATTGCGATTATGTATCTAGGAGAGATCGAAGTGACTATGGTTTGATTGTTCATTCATGGGGCCAATCTAAGATGGTGGCTGTCAAGAATAGACTGTCCTGCCGCTATCAAGCTGTGTAAGGACTTCTTCGACAAGGCATTTGGGTTGAAGCACAACAAGCACAGGGACAGTAGGCTTGAAGACCTTCCCATTCAGCAGTTCCCTGTACCATTGCAGAACCTAATGCAGCAGCAGCAGGGTCCTCTGTGCTCTTATCTGAGGTTCTGTAGCATCATGTACTTGTCAGCAGCCTGTGTGAAACAGGTAATAGTCTCATATTCTTCTACCCTATGAGGGGCTTGGAGAACCACACTGTCCCTGGGTCCATCCAATACATCTACGGGAGGGTGGGTCCGTTGAAGTTCGCAGTGAGATGCCAGATGCGAACCCCTCAGGAATACCTAGATCCTTTCCAGAAATGGAGACGTCATTATCCTGCTGAGGTTTATTCCTTGCAGCTTGCAGACAATCTGGAGGAGGTTGATCCGACATGGGTGCTCTGTCATTTTGCTCGATTCCCTCTCTCAGATGAGCTTGCTGTTGTACTCATGTTATCTCAGGTAAGTCCACTTCATCATGTCCATATAGCTCCACTGAACACAAACACTATCTTGGAACTAGGCATACAAGTTGGTTGCGCCCATACCAGGCTGTGAGCCACTCTCCCAGCCGCTCTTAGCTGCCAGTGGGCTGCTGCCGGCTGTTGAGCAGCTTGCCGATGCAGCACTGGTGGTCCGCCAGCAGCCTGATTATATACCAGATGACCTGAATCAGGCATATTGCACCTTTATGCTATGTGTTACTCTATTCGCATCCATATTCCATATTCACTATCAACCTGAGATGTGCTCTGATATTTTAGCTATGATTCATTGTACTGTATCAGGCCAAAAACCAGACTTCGCCATTGTTCCATATATTTATCCTTATTTGCTCTATCACTGAGTATATCTCTGGAAATAAATAGTCAAATATGGTAATTCTATTTGATATTCCCTGACATTACCAAAAAAGGAGATCAACTGTGGCTCAGCTCCCATCTGGAGAAGGTGATGCGTCCGAGACGTGCTGATGGTACTGGTGTCTGACTCGGGGTCGGTGGTGTCCCCCGCCACCATGCAAGTAGCTTAAAGTTAAGTCGAGTGTAGCATAGAACATAGATATGATACACTTGTAAGGAGTGAATGAGCGATAGAAATATTCACATTGTTCCAATAAATAACTAATCTAAATACTCGATTTTCTCCGCAACACAGCCGATGCTGCAAGCGCTTATTTGAGAGACCTAGTGAGGAAGTCACGCAAAAGGTTGAGACAAAAGGAAAACCGCGAGACTCGAACACCAGACCTTCAGGTCTGTATCCTCAAACTTTACCACAATAAACAACTACACTATGGCCATTACAACTCAGGCAATGTAAATTCCCGCTACCTTTGGTAGTGGGTTTTGGCATCCTTGATGTGGACAACTTACATAGTAGATTTGCAAGATCGGGAGAAACCTGCCCTAAAGTCCCAAATAAGGGAAGTATGTCATCAAAACATATCACAAAAGGAAACAGAGGGTGAATGGTATTGAATGCCGGCCCACTGACACAGTAGTGACAGGCAGAGGAACTTGAACACTCAGGCAAGAGGGATGCATAGAAGTGGCAGGACATTCGATTCATAAGGAGTGGCTGAGACCGGAGATTTGGAGCTTGAAGAACATGACTGCCTTGTTCAGTTCTGATATAAATTTCCGAGACTTGTTGTGATATATTATACATGTCCTGGACCATAGGTCTATGAAATTATCAACACATTGCAGGAGGTTGAGGAGCCCCATTCGAAGCTGCTGTCTACACACAGTTCAAGTCAAAGGTAGCGGGTTCTGCTGTGCACGAGCGCGGCCCTGCGGCCTTATGAAATATGAAGGACACGTTTGCCCCTTACAGACAGTCTCCAGACTCGGTGCCCGTATCGGAGGCACGAGCAGGCTCCTAAACCATCCGTCCTTAGCATTCTCGCTCCTCCTTTACTAGGGTGCACGTGCAGTGTTATATAATACAAATCTATTTTTAATTTATTACCAGATACAGAACAAACAAGAGGAGGAGAACACTATAGGATGGCTGGCACAAATGTCGTCACCGAGATCCCCGAGGCTGACTAAGCGGACGGTGGCTGAAGCCTCTCAGCAGTGGTTGGCGGGCGATGTAGAAAGCGTCTCGACACCTACCTCGTTGAGCTCATGCAGAGCACATATAAACGGGTGCTAAAATAGTTCAAGACCAATGCAAATACCTTTGGTATACTTCTGACACTCAGAGGGGCTTGTCTATAGCCATTATGCCTCTTCAGCCGGATATTCAGCCTTCGGTACTACTGATAACCATTGCATGAGTATACCATTCAGTTAGGACATTTTTACATTACTATAAAGTACACCGAGCAGTAAATCCCAAGGTAATAAGCTGTAAATGGTTGTGTGAAGGCCCACCGACCGCTGGTGAAAGGCTTCAAGTACCGTCCGCTTAGTCAGCCTCGGGGATCTCGGCGATAACATTTGTGCCAGCTGTCCTATAGCATTCTCCTCCTCTTGTTCGTTCTGTATCCGGTAATAAATTAAAAATAGATTTGTATTATATAACACTGCACATGTGCCCTAGTAAAGGAGGAGCGAGAACGCTAAGGACGGATGGTTTACAGTGCTTTGCATAAAAGTCCGGAAACTGTGTTTCACGCGTTTCTGTTTGTCCCAGCCAAACAATCCCTTATAGGGTAATACCTGACCGAGGGCGCGACGGTCCTCGAGTCAGCCTATATCACTCCTGGGACACAAATGCCCGTCTCAAGGCTGAATAACGTTCAGATCTGTATCTCCTTAGGATATCGAGCACACAGAGGTTAAAATCCCCCAAGAACAACCCCCATACATGAATGTCGAAGCATCCCGCCAACCAGTCAACAGCCCGTGCTACGGTGATCGACTACCCCATATAGGTTTGTTTGGCTGGCACAAACAACATTTCGCGGATCGCGGTTTCCGGACTTTTATGCAAAGCACTGTAAGAGCCTGAGGCACAAGGCGCTGCGGATCCCCCGATCCGTCTTCGCGAAGCTTCCAAAAACGGGCACTTACCATTTGCGGCCGAGCACGCAATGTCACACTTTTGTCACGATATGGGCCCGGGAGAAGAAAGTGCAATCCTCCCTACAAAGTTAAGGACGCGAGTCGCTATAAATGGAAGGTCGAGACACTGTGCGGTAACCCCGCAGCATCACGAAGGACTTCGTCTGAAGTCGGGGCGACTCGCTTCAGAATGGGAATCCTAAGGCGGTGAGGAGGTTGTGTACTCACTGC